AAATGTTTAGAGAACACATCAATTTGAATTTACACAAAAATCGATAATAACAAGGTTGTTTTAACGTGGCAAAGGGTCAATAGTTATGTCAACTCTAAACCTGGGATGAAAAGTAGGGAGGGGAATTAACAAAATAAAAGTGTGGTATGCATTAACCAGGGCAATTGAAGATTAACTACATGGTCTACTTGATTACATAGGTCGGGACTCTTCCGCCGTATGTATGATGTTTCCATGTAACGTAAGGTTCGATTTGTTCGTGCTCGAACATAAACGCGGAAAGATGTGTTAGTGTCAACGGAGTGACCACTGTCTAATAGATGCTTTGTAATAGATGATCGAGGTGGTTTTTTCTCTTGTTTTAAAAGCCAAGCAGACAAATATTCAGCAGCCCTGGTTGCTAATTGCCTTTGCGTACGGCCAATGTACTTGCCTCCACAAGTGCAGGTGAATTCATATACGCAGTTTGAGGTGGCGTGCAAAGGCAAGGCTTCCTTTGGCCGGTTTATTCGGAGGCTTTTAGTTGGAGTGATTAAAACAAGTTCGGCTGCATTGTAAGTTCTCTGTAGTTAATCTTCAATTGCCCTGGTAAATACATACCACACTTTTATTTTGTTAATTCCCCTCCTTACTTTTCGTCCCAGGTTTAAAGTTGACATAACTATTGACCCTTTGCCACGTTAACACAACCTTGTTATTATCGATTTTTTGTAAATTCAAATTGATGTGTTCTCTAAAGATTTCGTTATTCATGCAAAGAGCGGAAGCGGCTGATAAGCGCTCTCTAAATTTATTCACGCGAATAAATTCTGCCATTTTGGCTTGCTTCAAATTTATACCGGGAAAAAATGCTTTAGACTACACTATAACCCAGAAAAAGTGCAACTTTATGATGAAATCTTCTTTGGTAGTTTAACATATAGTTGATCACGTTATTTTGATCCACTGATTGGACTTACTCCTATAAAAGTCTATTGGTTTAGAAAATTTCCATTTTAGTTAGGTCTATTAAGACTAATGGGCGTTAATATTGACGAACATGGGAGCAGTCTCATATCGACAAAAATTTCCTATGCTATTACATATGAAAGAACCAAACTTTTTCATAATGCGCTTTGTGCTATGGAAGAATTTCATAATAAGGGAAATTTAAAAAATATAAACCTTCCAGAACCGAAGCATTTAGTCAGAAATTACTCACATATAAATGAAGCTTATGTTATGGAGTGGCATTTATTTCCAGAAACAATACACAATGTCAGCCTAAAACGTTACTTTCTGCTAGACCGTGAAGTTATTTGGTATAAAATGCATTAAAAAAACTGAGCACATTTTTAATACCGCATCAAGTCTTAGAAGGTTTTTAACAAGACTGACCATACATCTTCGCGAACACCTAGATGAAAGTCACTCTTGCTTGTTTTAAATCATGTACAAATATACTTCTTCGTACATTATAAATTAGAAACTGAGCAGAAGGAAAAACAATAATTACTTAAAAAAGTTAATAATATATCCCAGAAGCCATTCACAATGGCGGAAAATTGATAGCCGCGGTGCGTAATCATGACAGTGGCATGGAGTTGCACTCGGCGGCCTTTCTGTAAGGTGAGTACTCTTGGGAATCGGCGCATTCCCAACACCTCCCCGTCAAGTGGTTTAGTACTTTATATAGCGTGGACTGACCTGCATGCGCTGTGTGTTTTGGCGAACACGGTTAATCCGGTGTGTTAAGCGTAATTACGGCTTCGGGATCATAACTTGGTTCCGGAAGCAGTATATCCGAAAGGGCTGCGGCATTGAGTCCAGGGACTGAA